TGATGATGATGTTGAATGATTTTGATGTAGGTGACCGCCACGTATATCAAATAATTATTTCAAGATTTCGTGGCTCGACATCCCAAACCTCTGTATTTCCCAAATGAAACCAGCCACACAATCGCCGAGCATCATTCTCCACTTCAACTGGCCTTCTTGGAGGTGATGCCTCTGGTGATACAGCTGGGGATGCCACTGGTGATGCTACTGGTGATGCTACTGGTGATGCTACTGGTGATGCTGCGGGTGGTGGTGGTTGCACCATGGGTCGCACAATGGGTGCCACCATGGGCTTCAACGGTGGTGGATTCACCGGCCACGACGCTGACTCGGCCGCGGGGTCGCTGGGCCGGTCTTGCGGCACTGGCGCCATGGCGGCCGCCATTTCCTGCGGGCTGAACCAGGGCGAGCTCTCTGCAGGCAACGAGAAGCGGCGTTCCACCCGCCCCGGACCTGGGGCCATGCGCGACGGTCGCACGGGGGGCGAAAAGGGGTCCGCGGTGTTGGTGCGCGGCAGTGGAGGGCTGGGGGATACCCTGTCTCCATCGCTGACAGAGCGTTCGAAGGAAGCTGAGGCTGCAAAGAACTTGGGACTCGGAGCTGGATGCTGAGCATCCGTGCGTGCTCGGCCCATGGCTCGTTCTTGTTGGTTTGGTGGGGATCTGGCAGGGGTATGTGGGGGGCTGGGACTGCGGCTTTCAGCCTGTTGTGTCTTGGGAACCAAAGCTGGGGGTGATGAAGGCGGCACTTGTCCTCACATCGGCCAGAGAAAACATGGAGGTCATGCAAGGTGTTGATCCATGACTCATGGGGTCTCAAGCAACAAAGTGGTACCTGAATTGTTGATAACCGCTGTGGCATGAAGACATGTTGATTGAAATATATTGAAATATTGTTTTTTCTTGTTGACATGACGACAGTCATGCTGAGGGTGCAGCATGTTTAGCTATACCTCTGTGATTGTGGTAGGGAAAATTGGGAAGGTCCACTACCACACATGTTGACCAACGGATCTACCAGCTAGAGTCAGCAAATCGGAGGATACGACTTTCGGGTGTGCATGGGGATCAGCAAAGCAAATCATTCTGCAGATTGGTTTGTGCCGTCGAAAGTCATACTGCATTTTCTCGTTCATATTTTTCATCTTTCAACTTCACTTCAAACAAGGAGCTAAACTTCTAAAATCTTCCAAACCACCTTTTCTTGCCATTTTCCCATGGTTTCTATATGTTTCTATCCATTTTTCCAGTCCACAAATGGCTTTTTCCAAGCATCGTTGCGTGGCTTGCCACGTGGAACCGCAGGAGGCGGGCAACCAATCGGCAGCTTCCGCCTATCACCCATTCACAGTGGTATTTTTCCAAAGCTAAATTAGCAGCTAAATAACCAGAGGGTTAGTAATAGATAATAATAGTATGTAATAGTACTGACCTCCATCTCAATTTAGACGGTCAATATTTTTTTGAGCCATGGCCATGTTACTTGAACTTTGGGTTTGGAAGAAGCAAACAGAAAGCACAACAAATATCGACGCGTAAATGAAGGCAATTTGTTTGCTTGAAGTATCCCAAGCCATGAGAATACAGAATAAGGGCGTTCAAGCCCGGAAGCAGCCACACAAAATTTGGTTGGTAAATATCAGTTTTTTTTTTTGCAATGTTTGACGCATTACGTTCATGACGATTTCATCAATACCAATAGGGACCCTGAGGAATTTGAACATTCTTCCAAATGGCAAGAGCTCAACACCTGCATTTCGGAGGCATTTTTATGTGGAAGTCAAGATTTCAGGGCTTTAAATTTGTTGGTATTTGCAGGAAGGCCAGCCTCTTTTCATTTTGAGCCAGTGGAATTGCGGTTTTCAGGAGTCTTTTCTGTAAACCAAAGAACCCAACTTTCTCACAAGAGATACCTTATTTGAAATGAAGTTAACATTATATAAGTAGCGCAGCATCATCTATGTTACATGAACTGAACTTCAAGTAGCATAACATTTTAATTGATATGATATTAATGTTAAGTAGCGTAGCATCATCTATCTTACATGAAGTTAACTTCAAGTAACATAGCAACTTATTTGAAATTAAGTTAACGTCAAGTAGCGTAGCAGCATCTATGTTACATGAAGTGTGCTTGATTTAGCGTAGCATTACCTATGTGAGAAGAGGTTAGTTTGAAGTAGCATCACATCATATTCGAACTGAAGTTCACGTAAAGTAGCGTAGCATCTTGTATGTATGCAAGCTATTGAACGTTATTGCAACCCCACCCCCCCACCCAACCCGAAACCCCCACCATCAAAAGCAAGTAGCGTAACATTACGCATGTTAGTGCAGGTCAACGTCAATGTTAGTGCAATTCACTGAGAGTGCAAGACATGTGTGCAAGTGCAAGATTTGTATAAGCAGCGTACAATAATGCATGCTAGTTCAACTTAATCTGACATAGCAAAGCATCATCTGTGTTAGGAGAAGTCAACATTAAATACTGTAGCATAGATTAAATTAGATTAGATGAAGTCACCTTTGAGTAGTGCGGCATCACCTGCACCTTACAAGCAACGTCAAGTAACATTGCACCTTCCATCAATGCACATGCTATTAAACGTTATTGCAACCCCCAGAAACTAGAAAATGGTGTTTTCCTATGGGGTCGCTAGCAGCGCCGCTAGCATAAAAAAGATTACATTCCAATCCAACAACAATCCACGAGAAAGGATGTCAACATTTGAAACAGAAAAAAACGTGTGGTTTTCTATTGGTTTTCCTATGGTTTTCTCTTAAATGCCCCCGGATCAACTTCAAGAAAACATAGGGTACTTTGGACCTCCAATGATCCGATCCGAATGAATCGTCGGATGTGGGAGGTGCACCCGCGCCTCATGTCCACGACCATAACCTGATGCGTGGATGGGTGCGAATTCCTGCACCAAAAGGATGGTTGAAGCCATATAAATAATGGGGATGTTGATCACCTATCAACTGCTACATCTTCAACTTCAACAATCTTTGATTTTCCCTGGATGTTCACAGCATGTTCCTTGCCCCCTCTGGACGTCTTTAGGTTGGAATGTCACAAGTATTGGCCCATGGCCCATGCTCAGTTGTGGCTACCCAAGGTTTTGAGACGATATGTCCGACAGGGTTTCATGGCGTTGATGGTTCACCTTACTCCAATTCTGGCTCCAGAAAGGGCCAGCTGAAAAGTATATATATATGTATCCCTTCAAACATCAGCGTACAAATCTACTGCTGACTAGGCTTCTGAAAATTCAAAAAACACACAACATGCACTTCATCTCTTAATCCGATATCTGCTCATTCCAAAGAGCACCTTTGGCTCCCCTGGTCCAAGCCTCCAAAAGATCTACCAGTGGACAACCTGTAGCAAGCGCCACGTTCATGGTGTGGTCCGATAGCTTGGGTCAACCAACTTGGCCTTCTGGCAATTTAGGACCTTTGGGCAAGCTCCAACTGCTTCTGTCTAGAACTGATCGAAACTACTGTAAAGCTATTCATTCTCACCATTTCTCACTCTATCCTTTTCCAAAGCTGTGATTGCATTTGCATCGGCTTTGGCCGATCGTTGCTATCGCCTTTTCTTGCTACTGAACACCTCACCGCAACGGAACATCACTCAGGTATAGGATAAATTTCCTGGCCCAAGTGTTTCTAAATGGGCACTTCAATTCCCATCTTTCGTTGAGGTAAATCACTTCAATCCCCAAATTTTCATGGAAGCTTTGGTCCCCAATCTTTATCAACCAGTTTTTGCTCTCTAAAATCATTTGACAGTGTGTCAAAACCTTGTACCCCTGGTGAACATCAAAATAGCTGGTAAATGGATGTTCATTCCACTAATAATGGTATTATATAATAGGTATTGACCCAACCCCATTTTTTTTCAAAACATCAACTTATCCAGACTTATCCATCATTCCTCCCGTGTGTATATATATAATATGCAATTAGAAGCATATCATATGATATCTACATGCATTAATTAATATTACTCATAAAAAAAAACAAATATATATATATATAGATATAGTTACTGTTTATGTAGTTAAAATGCCACCATATTCTTTCAACACAGCAGTTGAAGCAGGTTATATAAACCTCATCATTGGCGTCATTGATTCCTATGGCATCGCATGGCAACCCGGATCCTGCATCACCAAGCGACGGCCGGGCCATGTGAAAAGCAAAGTTGGTAGGCCTCAGGTTGTGAGGTGGTCTGGTTGACATATGGCGCATCGTTTCCCTGGGAAAGATGTGAACAACTCATGGTTTCCGGTTCAGAACATGATCTACAAATGATGGATTTTCCTCATCTATGTCAGCTTACCGGAGGGCATACAGTGGTAATTAGTATACCGACCCAAAAAAGATAGAAAAATAACATCCGGCTAAAATAGCGGGTAAATGATTACAAACATCTCCATAGATTTCATCACATTTCAGCTACTGCACTGTAGCCATCAGAAAATGATGGGGCCCCGTTGTGTTTAAATCGAAGATCGCGGATGATCGCGTAGAGCTTGTCACCACCCTGCCCAGTCGATGTGGCGGGACAAGGCAAAGAAGCCAGGATGATGATATAATTGGGGCTGCTGTTGACTTGCCCTGTTGACTCTGGCTATCTTGGTTGAAGCACAGCACCCAAAGATCCCAAAGTCTAGTTGGAGATAGCCATTTTTAGCATCCAGCAAGGTAAGGATGACAGGTCCGACAGGTCAAGGACTGGCATGGCAATGCATGGATCCTTCTTTTGCGATGTGCAAGTGTGGTCTGCTGTCCCAAACATGCAGCCAGCATCGAATCTGGTCTGCTGTCCCTGAAGGGCCTGAAGGGCCTAAAGGGCCTTTCAGGCCTCACAGAGCGAAAACTCAACAGAGTCTGGACGTGGGACATCCTCCCAACATCGAGATATCAAAGCTGTACAAGTTCCAGCCCCCGGGATTGAATCCTCACTACATTTCACTGGGGATGGGAAGTGTCTCAGGCCTCTTGCAAGTAGTACTGCGAGTATCTGAAAGGCATCCACTGATCTGCTTCGCAGGAAATCCAAGAGCCACCCTTCTGCTTCACCTGTTTACACTCCAGCCACTTTTCGCCATTGACTTCCTTGGATTGGTTGAGGTCAACTATTTGGAATCACTGAAATCATCCGGAAATCCCGGGTCTTTGGCACGCGTGGCTTCAATATCTTCAATGTGCAAGCTGATTATCATGTATTATCATTGTTTGAACAGATAGGCAAACAATTTCCCCCCACAAAGTATTCTTGATCTTCCATTCCTTGCAATGGTAATTGTGACATAGTGAATGCATATGATATGTTTTAGATTGATCGCAAACAACAGAAAAAACGAGAGAACATGGACTTCCGAAACATCGGGCACCCCATCAAAATATAGTCCATGGTGCAAATGATGCAATTATTATACCACAGTATGCCGTAGGAATGATATCCCATTTTTCGACAGCTCCGCGAGGAAAAGCAAAACCACCGACTTTTTTTTTAAAGATAAATAAGGGATCTAAACACGGGCCTCAAGCTCTACCTTTTCGATTCCTGACAATTCCATGGGGGAGAAACAAACACTTGCAAAAACAGCAGAGCTTCATGCACAATGCCCTGCAACTGCGCTCCATCTCTGGGCCAGTTATCCATGCTGCCCTTCTTCCCGCTGCGAGGATCGGCGCGCCAAAACATCCCAGTGCAGCCTGGGGCGTCCTTCATCAGGTCGTAGGTCTTCATTTCAGCCATGCTGTGCCGGGGATGGCTGGGAATGGCTGGGCCGGATGGCTGGCCGAAGTTTCCTGGGCCGAAGATGGCTGAAGAATGAAGGATGTGAAGCCTTCGAAAATTGTCTTCCTGGATGTTTCCGAGGAATGAGGAATGGTTCCGCTGCAAATGATTAAATGATTAAATGATGCGCCATCATACAACTGCAACATGGAGGTAGCACCTTCTTGGTGCAGCTCATCATGTTCCCGTGTGTTCCCTAGCTTCATCTCCCACAGAGTTTTTCAAACTCAAAATCTTCCAACCGGCCCAACTTTGAGCGCACCTTCATGTAGAAGACCATCGTCAGAAATTGTTGTCGTGACACGGGCTGGATGAATAGGTGAGGCATGTGGGAAACTGTGATGGTTTCTGTCACAAATTTGAATGTCAAGGGATTTCAAAAGGTAAAGGGCCCTTCACATTGATGTTTGACCTCCTACTTTGCTTCTCCTTACTCCTTACAGTAATCATCCAAAAATCCAATGTCTGCCAATGTCCATTGGGCACATGGCATATCTACATGTCACGTGGACATTTAGAACTTTAAGCAAAGTATCGGGCATATATATCCTATCATTCATATGCACATGTTCAAAACCTCAGCTTGTTCTGAGTAAAAAATGGTACCCCCAATCCAAACGGTTACCCTCCTGTGAACATTTACATTAGTATTCATGCTGGAAAACTCACCATTTGCAGATAATTTTGCTAAAAAACCATGGGTTTTCCACATCTATGTCAGTTTACCCTCGGCTACTCATCATGCATGATGTCATTTCCCCGGGTGAAGTCCCAAACAGTTTTAGAGGTTTTAGTTGATAACAATATCCCCCTTTTCAATACACACATACAGACATTTGTTATTTGTTGACATTCGGTTTGCCATTTTTCACATTTTTTCCCCTTGTCAAACCATCACCGGAACGTCTGGGACCCCCAACTGCGGCACCCGTGTCATTCTCACCGCCGCGCCGGGGGAGTTGCACCTGAGCCATTCAACCATCCATGCATGGGAGGTTAAATGGTTTGGAATCTGAAACCATCAATAAATGGTGATTTTGGCCTGGAGTACATCCAATGCAGTGTACTGTCCATAGCCATACCCATTGTTACTTTTTCTGTCGGTCCAATGTGACATTTACCGGGGTTTATTTCCATGGTGATTTTCAGATACTTTGACCCATCGAAAATTGGGAATTAGAATGAAAAAATTGGGATTTAACCATGAATGTAACAATGAACCAGCGTGATTGAACCACCAACAGCTGGCATGTAAGGCACCACAGAAAAGTGGATACATATCATATGCATCGATAACTTGGGATTTACCAGCAATAGTCGGAGATTCAAGCAACGACAAATATATTAAGGTTGTTGTAACCTAGCCTCAACCCTCAAATGTCCTCTCTCATGTCCTCAATAATTTGGTCCAAAAAATGTGGAGATCACGGGTTACTGGGTTTAGCCTAGTTTAGCTAACATGTTAGGAAACCGGTCGCATCTCACCATCATCAGGGGAAACCCCGTCAGGTTTCTCAGCATTTTCCAAGCGCATCACTGGGAGCCAGTGATGCGAGCCCGTGGATGGGGTGTAGATGTTCAAAGCGCCATGAATGAACACAGATTGACAATGAGTGATTATTTTTGGTGAGAACAATGGAACAAATCCGGAACAAATCCGGAACACATCCGTTTGCGCCATCTCCCACATACATCCACATACTAGCGGACAAGAGACCATACTTTTCCATGAACGATTTGCCAATTCCAAGTGTCTCGAGGATGTGGATGTGGTGGGCTATTCCCACTGAAACGGGCCCCAGCGAAGAAGGTCAACCATGTTTAACCACAAATGTCAAACCAAGATGACATTTAGTCCAGTTGATTAGCTGAGGAAAACACACAGCAAATGATCAGTTTTATTCGAGGCATGGTAGTGGAACACAGTTAATACTTGGCCAACAGATTCATTGGCAGTGCTGTGGCTTTCCTCATCTTAGATCTTACAGGATGCAATTTTTACATCAATCATTCACTAGCATCATTTGATGCATATAAAGTTGATATTAATGTTGCTATACCACAGTACATTTACAGTACATTTACGGTACATTTCCATAGTATATCTTAGTTGATCATGTTGATACTGGATCAAGACGTCGGCACGTTGGGATGAAACGAGTTGTTGGTTCCTGGGCTCACTGGGCCTCTTACTGGAGTCGGCACGCCCTGGGATCCGTGAAACTCTTCTCGCATTTTTTGGATCAGTTGGGATCCCGTCTGATGATGTGAAAAAACTATGTTTAACGATGTTTAACTACAACATACTGTAGCTATAACTGGCTATAACTGGCTATAACTATTAACTATTCATAGTTTGACCTTTGACGAATCTTCATCAGTCGGAGGATTGATGAACACGAAAACACACATTACGATCCATATCATGATGAGATGAGCATGGCAAGCATCGGCCTTGGATCTTTCCAGGGGCCTACTCCAGCACCAGCCGCTGCATGACCTCTACCGGACCATCACCAGAGGCTTTCTTCATCTGCAGCGCAGTCCGGGACATATCTGAGGTTCTCCTTCGCGGAAAAAAAAGAACAGCAGGGCCACTTTACCCGCTGTGGGTTTGACATAATTTTAAGCTTCGGGAAATGAGACTATCTAGAATCTAGCCAACTTAAATACTGAAACATGTACTGGGACATACTGGGACACGATTCATTCTGGTGGCAAACCATCAACTGAACCTCCCTGAAACAGTTGCGATCCCACTGCATCCAGGAGGCGATTTTTCCAAACCTGTGCGCATCGCAATGTCATATTGATCATATTGGCTTATGACGAAACATGTCACTGATGAATCTGATTTTGAAATATTTCTGAACATCAGGTACCATATTCATGTACAAAAAGGATTACTGTGGTACCTGATTCATGATTCTGAAACATCAGGTACCATAGTAATCCTTTTTGTACATAGGCTACGCCAAAACAAACACCAAAATCCCTGTTGTTCTTCCCGCCGTCCTTTGGCACGTGGGAGCACCATCCCGGCTTCACGTTGGGACGTGTAGCTGGTGGTGGAGCCGCGCCCAGCAAGGGGCCCTTGTCGTACATGCCTGGTGGACTCAGAAAATCTCAGGGGTCAAAGTCCCAAGTGGTTAATGATGGTCAATTTAATGATGCTAGAATATCATGGTTAATATTGGGCAATACTGAGGTAAAGCCATTTTCCATAGTCACCATCCCCAACTTTGAGGTTCATGAAATTGGAAAAAAACCCAATGACTGGGAGGATGCAAACTGACCCCCTATAAATGGGATTGTTTGTTTTTGTTTACCACACTAGGTGCAGTGGGGTCGATGCGGAGATGCGGATGTGGGATTTGATGGGATTTGCATTCAATCATTGCTGGAGCTGGGCCGTATATTTTTGGAGACTTTCAAAGCTAATGGATCTAATGGATCTAATGGATCTAATGGATAGGGATGGATAGGGATGAGAATTGATTATATACAGCGTTCAAAAACAGAGGTGGTACTACTGAACTGAACATGCTCATCATGCAACATGGTGTAGCTTAGCCACATCAAGATGCTCCCAGGTGGCACCTCCCTTGCAGTCGGGGACATACTCAATGGCACTAGGTGAGACCCATTTACACCACTCCTGCGTGGGCCGGGAATGCTGGTGGAACTCAACATCAAATGGGTCAAGTGCTGGCGAAGGACTTTTGGGCTTGAACAAGGGCACCAAAGGTCACAAACAGGATGAACCATGAATCTTTTGTGGTGGCATGATCATCTCCCCATTCTTAATATGTCTTAACGATTTGATTCAAAGTCTAAGAGTCTAAGAGTCCACTCAAATCCGGAATTTTGCTGATTGCTTCAGATTCTCCAAAAAATCATGTGAATTCACGAATTTAGCCAGTGAAAAAAAGACAAACACCTCCGGGCACCGTGTGGATCTTCCCAGGTCAGCTCCCCCCAGTACCCCGCTCCGGCTTGCCATCTGGCCCCAAGGGGCCAGTGCTGGGTGCCGGTTTGCCGAACCAGCAAGGAGGCACCACAAACTGCCTGGCATGGGTATGCACAGGTACCAAATCCACTAACTAATTGTGGAAGGGCCACTAGAGTCACTAGACAAGTTGGATTGCAAAGGATCGTTGAGGGGCGTTGCAACCCCGCATGGTCATTATCCACTAGTGTGCTAAAAGCTTGCAAAATCTCTTCCTGGAAATTGTCCATGGTGTACCTCAAAAGTTTATGTTCACGTTCTTGTCAAACTTGCCATTTTTTGGATATAGTTGTTTCGTTGGCAGCCAACGGCAGTCGAGCTGCACCAACCACGGGATATAGCCACACCAATGCGGGGCGGTGGTCAGTAGCTTACCTGCAGGCACAACAGGACGCCAAATGTGCCGGAGATACCTGCAAGGTGAGGCCCCAAAAGTTATATATAAGTTGGTTTGTAGACAGAACCCCCATGAACTATATAGTCATTATATTCCCCATAAACCCAGGTTAACCAAATGGTGGTTAATTATGGGTCAACTGGTCAACTTAGCTATCTAGAGGGCCTCACCTTGTGGTACCACGTGCAAATGGTACTCTAGGCATCAACTTGCATTTGGCTGCATTTGGATGCCTGGCCTTTTTCAAAGGATCCCAGACTTTGAGTCCCTGAATTCAAAGCACGAAGATCCACTGGACGCGACGATATTTCATGGCACGAGCCATGGTTTCCAGCAATTCTGTCCTAGATTCGGGATGATTCGAGCACGTTAACCCCTCTCCGGACTCCGCCGTGGGAAGCAGGCTTGCCGAGCAGCCATACACCATGGAGGAGCTATTCTCCGCAGATTCCTGAGGGCTGTGATGTTGCAATCCAATGCGGGAGGGAATGGCTGCAACTCGGAAATCTAGAAATATTGGAATATAAAGAGCCAGGATGGGTTTTGAAGCAGTTTGAATCTTAGAGCCCCAAAGTATCCCCATGCACAGCTGAAAGAAAATTATGTCAGGCGACAGCATCGTCATGAGATGTCATGGGCCATCTGCTTCGAAGCTGGCCATGCTTAACGCACCCCCAAAAAAGATAAATGGTGAATGAAGGTGAATGGTGAATGATTCTTGAGTAATGGTGAATAATGGATAATAATGGATAATCATGGTGAATGATTTTTGAGGTTGCTGCTCAATTTTTGCCTTGCTGTCCCCATGTTTCTTACATCCTCCTCCATTTCCACATGTTCTTGGTTCAATCCCTCTTTTTACCCATTTTTCACAGGTTAAATCCACGCGTTTGTTGGTTCAACTCCCATAGGTTGGAGATACCTCAACTGGTATGCCCTGCCGAGGAGCCATCTCTAGAAGCGCCGGTCTCCATGCCAAGTTCGCTTCGCGTTGTCGCCTCGGATCGTCCTACGATCTTTCCAGAATTCATGCGAAGCGTATGGAAACTATCTGAGATTTCCCTTGGATTTGAGGGTCAACACCATCTGGTTGGTGGTAAAACAACCCCTCTGAAAAAATATGAGTTCGTCAGTTGGGATGATGACATTCCCAATATATGGAAAAATAAAAGCCATGTTCCAAACCACCAACCAGCCATTGGTTTCCAAACTTGGTTTATGGGACAAATCTGGAGAACCTATGGGAAAGCCCTAGGCCCTTAAGGATCAAAACCTGTGCGATTCAGTGAAATTTCATCAAATTTCTATAGCTACCGTGGGTGGTTAAGAAATCCTGCACCACTTAGTAGATGGTTTATCCCATAATCCCGTTTGATGTTTCATAGTTACCTTCAATAGTTTCCAAGTGGATTTCTTCCATCCACAGTAAACGTAACAAACCAACCATGGCATTGCAGCATCCGAGCAGCAACCAAAGGGACTCGATCTGGTCGCTGCAGTCCTGATAGGCTGCATTCATGTTCCCAACTAGAAATGATACACTTTATTAATATACATATATTTTAATGATATTTATGACAATGATTGGTATAGTGATATATATATATATATATATTATAGAGATCTAAGCCAAAAAATGAAACAGTTACTTATTATACGAGCATTAATATGTCAGACTCGGATTTGTCTCACCTTTTCCGCCTCTTTTCTCTGGGAGTTTCCGGACACATTTAACGCCAGGACTCAGGAGAGTAGTGCTTTTGGGCTTCAGGAATGTGTGCACACCAATCCGGTTTCCTTGGTTCCGGTCCCTTCAGGGTGGTATTGCCGACTGCGATCTGGGAGTGTGGGCAGTAACCATGAACCGGTTGGGGGTATGATACAGCTGGAATGAGGATAGTACATAACTACATGATGGGACAGGGATGGAATCGAATGAATAGAATGTTAAACTTTTCGGGTCACTGCTTGTGATTCTCAAGTGGTGCAAAAGTTTGCGCAAAAGAGCTCTTTGACATGACATAGTTCTTCTATGTCAGCCGGGACAAGTGCACGCATAAGCAAAGAAAAATGCTTCCTTACACACACGTCTCTCCTACTCACAAAAATGTCTAGACATGTCTAAACCACTGAGTCGCCTGGCCCTGACCAAGTCCATCACCGAGCATCGCAGGTTTCTTCGTGTTCTTGGTGGGTGCTGGTGCTGCCTTCGGAGTGGCACCCAAATCGGAGCACTCCTGGGAGGGAGTGTTGCAGTGCCCAGATTTCACAGACTCTTAGGGATTTAGACTGTACTTACCCAGCTGATTTGTAAAGATCTGGATGTTACCCAAATGATCGGCCTGGATCTAGAGTCGGATATTGCCAACTCAAATTGACGTCATAAAAATCACCGAATTCACCTAAATGAAAAGCACCAATAGCCAGCCATGATGAAGCCTTGTTGTTTTCATAGCCAACTTCAGCATCAGTTCTCATCTGCCTGATGACCAAAAAGATCCAAAAAGTCTGCGCCAAGATGTGGCCTGTGGGTGACACTCTCCTAAGGTTAACTGGACACAAACATCGTCCGTAGAAATTCCACCATAAACAGACCTAACAAAGTCATTGTGTCCTTCTTGCTTTTCATGTTCTTGGTTTCATCAAACATTGGCATCTCTCTTCGGGATACTTAAAATAATTACTTAAAATCATCACTTCACTGAACAGTGTAACAGGATAAGATCTAAGAACCTATGAGCTCCTTGAGGGATACATGTGTAGTTAAGGCTATTCATGAGTATTACATCTACAACCATGGGATTTTTTAATTTCCAAAAGTTGGGATATATGATGATATATGTACAGTCATCCCTGAAAACGAGGGTGAAATCTACCCTCTGGTAATTTAACATAGCTATTGAAAATGGCCATTTATAGTGGATTTTCCCATTAAACATGGTGATTTTCCATAGCTATGTAAACGTTTACCAAAGGGTGAAATCTAAGTCGCATCCATGATGCTTCCACTGGGGGCCCCCCAGCGGAACTTCAAACTTCGCGGTCCTCCACATAGGGCCTGGCACCATAGGAGACATGCTGACACCAGGCAGGTTTCCCATCTGGACCCAGGGGTTCCTGGCTCTTCTCCGGCTTCCCAAACCAGCAGGGAGGCACCTGGGAGCCAAGTTAGCCAGTGCTGGTGCACTGGAGGGTTATCCCGTGGTATCCCCTATAAAAATGGCCACTAAAGGTATGGGAAACCATGAGATGCCAATGAGATCCAATGAGATCCATGGCAGCCATGGGATTTTTTGGGGGCATCTTGTTCGAAATCAATGTGTCTTTAAAAAAATATTGACTTCCAGCAGGATGCCATTGATAGTGGTGATAGTGGTATATAGTGGTGGTTTCCAGACCTGAACCTGGAAGGATTTGACATCCTCTTGCCATTCCTGGTGAGTCATAAGTTCCCACCAAGACACAACAAACTGCACCAACCAAGGGATATGAGCGCACCAGTGTGGTGAATCTACAAGCAACTTCCTGAAATTGGCAGCTTCAGTCGGACACTTGGGAGGTCTCTGGCGCGAATTGCCCGTCGACCCTAGTAATCCCTTACCCCGAATATTATGGCAACCCTGGAAGCCCTAGAGTTTTTGTCCCTTACCTTGCGGGCATTTAATGCTAAGGGGAAGGGGTTATGATTCCCTGCTCCTGTGACATGTGGAACTGCCACCCTCAGTCCTCTATCAGCTGATTTCTCTGGTTTGGTGAAAACATGGGGTAATCTTGCGCCCATCTGTCACAGTGCATAGCATCACTCCAACGACATCTACCACCACAATCCACCACAAACTTGACATGACTTGACTCAAATTCTCCATGGCATTGCTTCAATGAACACATTTACAAGAAACAACTCAGATATACTCAGATATTTGCCCCATCAGCATCCTTTAAAATCCATGGAAAATCCATGGAAATTTCCTGATGTTTCCTGTTTTCAAGAGACATCCATGGTGGGTTTTTCGTGGCAAGCTTCCCGTAGAGGCCTTCCGACTCATTCATGGACTCACTGGAGCCCAACCTGGTCAGACGGTCATGGGCCCAACTCCCAGTTCGCATCATGTCTGGCAATTTATTTTACGGTCCCAAAACGGTATTTATTATTATTATATATATATAGGGTTTAGGGTTTAGGGTTTAGATATATATATAATATATATATATATATGTATACTGTATATGGTATCAACAAATACATGCCTGATTAATCTCGTTTAATCCCTATTTTCATCCCTTTTCATCATGTTTCTTCACGACTTCTCCATACTTTTTCGAGGTTCCGGAACCTGTGCGCCAAGGTGCTCCATTTTGACTTGCAGCAGTTGCGTGCGAAGTTGTGCCAATTCCATGGCCTCTTCCTGTCAAGTCAGAGGTCAAGTAGTTGCAGTTCAATCACTACACATCATTACCAATCCCAACTGACTGATTAGAAATTGAGTGGTAGAATATGGTAGAACTAGATATTACCATATATTACCCGTTCCCAACTTGAAGGTCTATTGTTGGGATTGCCACATCAAGCATTGAGAAGCGGCTGCAACGCGTCACCTGAACATTGGATTGCCGGGGTAACCAAATTGATCAAGAGGGTTCACCATGGTTAAAAACCGCTTGACATTGCCGAACCCAGTAGTTGACATTGCTGGTAGTTCACATTGGGTTTATCCAGCCATTCCATTCGGGACGACACAACCCCATGGCGTCGTATGGATTCATATGCTTTCTGTGTCACAGTACAGGTTGCGGTTGCGGAACAAAAATTGGAAGTGCTGAGGACATGGCTTTGAGATGATTTGACAGTGTCGGCGTCCTTATTTTGACAAGCCAGTTGTATCCATCGGTGTGAACCAAACTTGATTGAAGATTGAACGTGCATGGAAAAAACCTTGAGAAAGGATCATGGTACATCATCCGTCCGAAAAGAGTTCAAAGGAAAGCTAGTTCAATATTGCCCTTTCAGGGAAAAGCGAGGGGCCGGTTTGGTATATTATATATATTATCATCTGCCTATTGGCTGTTGAATAGGGGGGAGCCTTTTTGAACCAGTGGGAAAAGGATATCTCTGAGCTAGTTCCCATCTGCTGAAGCTTCATCCCTGACCTCCTGCCTCTTCCACACACTGGGCATCACTACACGCCAGGGCCTTCCCGGCAGCTGCCAGGCACAAAATTCGAAATGCCATGGCCATCTACGAAATGCGCGGCGCGGCAACGCGGCGCGTGTGTACAGTGCGTTGCGTAGGTTTTCGCCCTGCACACTGAGCCGACGCCGCAAAACAAAGGCGGGCAAAGGTCGCAACATGTCACAACATGTCGCAACATGAGTGGCTGGATCTAGAATCTACACCTTGGCATAGTAACTATAGTACGATTGTGTTTTTCCTTTTGGGTCACCCGTGTCGCCACCCTGGCCTTCCGATCTGGGGCCCTACCCCCTGCTGGTCTCTAGGTCCAGCACTGGCTCGGCACCGACCGTGCATGTGGCCTGAGGTTTTGCAGACGTCTATGTCCATCGGATTGACATATGGCGATTGAACGATATTGAAAGTAATTAACATAATATGAATAGTAAGTATTAGTAACTCGCGCTCTCTCTCTCTCTCTGCATCTCTCCATCGCCATCTCAGAGAGGTCAACTATTAGAAACTATTAATAACTATTAGAACCTGTTAGTACTATCAGTATTTATTAGTAACCACTATTATTGTTGGAAACAAACCCATCATCACGAATCACCATATCATTGTCCTTGTCCTCATCCTCCACCTCCTCCTCATCATTGTAATCAACATCAAAACCACAACCACAAACAAAGCACACCCACATCTACAACTACAGCAGCATTTCCAACACGATCTCAACACCATGCCCTGCCACCAACAACATCCCTTGCCGAGTAGCTGAGCATAGACGGGGTGATAGCCAGGCTGCCCAGGATTGGAATATCCAGGGCCAACCTTCCTGGACGTTGCTTTTGGGATTTTGCCATAGGGAAGAGTTCGCTTTCAACGGGGATCACAAATGCGTGATGTACTTTTTCGGGGCTTATATATATATATTATACACATATTATTTATATAGTGTTATACGTAAATATATTATTTATATATGCATACACACACAAATATACAATGATATACATAGATATGCATATAGATGCATGGCATACACGTGGTTTTTTGTTTTCATGACTATTAGTCGGCTATCAAGTTCATGGTATGCCATGATCCATCAAGTTCACAGGAGAAACATCTTCAAAATCCATGGCTTTGCCATCCCGAAGCATTTGGATATGTTCAGTAATTACACTGTTTTCATTCAGAATTGCCCTCATGAAAATAATCTAAAAAATGCTACGCAAAATATGGTCCATTTTCGATTCGATGATGTACCAAAAATGGGGTACCTTTGCACGTGCTCATCCTCGTGCTGCTTATCCAATCTTTGACCGTTGCTTTACCTTGTACAAGTCTCCTCTTTTAATCCCATATTTGTTAACCCACATCCTCGTCAGCATCCCAATCCTTTCACTCAAATCCCAATTTTGTAGCCTGCTGCCCTCATCTTTCTTTGTCCAATCACCGCTTTTAACAATATCATTAATATCATATGATCGCCATTCTTGATTTGTGTTAATGACATCTCCATTTTCTCCGGGTTCTTGGCTCAAAATTCCCAGGGCACCACCTCTCAATGGATTGGTTAAGGGAAAATCTACAGGCAACCACGTTTTTTTTTAACCATCATTTTAAGGAGTGTCCTACGGTTTCCTCCAATTTGTGTAATCCGAATTTTGTTAGATAGGAATCCCATGGTCTATCATCGCTTTTCCCTCGAAAATTGCCATACATTGGGTAAACACATGTAAAAACTCCATGTCCAAACAAACCCAAGTCATCTTAAGTTTTAAATGTCTACCTCCATGAAATCCCATTCAGTCCCATTAGATCCCATTACATCCCAATCTCAAGTGTCATTTGAATCAAGTTGAGGGTATTCAATCCCGTTAGATTCTATCCAAAGTCATCCCGTTAGATCATAATTAAGTTGCTATTCAATTCCTGGCATTACCCTCTGGTAAACAAACATAACTATTGAACATGGCCCAGTCGAAATAGTGAGTTTTCATGAGTTTTCCCATTAAAAATGGTGATTTTCCATAGTTTTTTGTATGTTTACCAGAAATGGACATCCGGTTCGTTCCTTGTTTCTGGTGAACTCCCCATGAACTTCCGCTACTGGGCTCCCGGCGGGCCAGGCACGGGGCCAACGGGCGGCGTCTGCGGCGTCGGCGTGGCCGTCGGCTGCGCCACCGGCATCGGTGGATGGTGGAAGCCGTGGGCTGAAGCCACTGAGGCCATGGGCCTGGGGACGGTGTAGTTGAGAATAGCCTGGAAATTAGTTTTTATTGGTTATCATTCTATTTGATTAATGGATACTTATGGATAAACATTGATATTCATGGATATTAGTTTTTAATCCGGGTAAATTATTCGAATGCTTCATCCTATATTTATCGTCAATATATATATATATATATTTATATTATATATATCATAGACGGTATCTATATGTATCTATTACATATATCTGGGTAATTTGGGCCATTTGGGGATGATTCCCCGAATCCTAACCACTATTCCAGGGTTCGGGAGAACAGGGTTCGGTCGTGATGAAATTTACCCAGATTATTCACTGGATTGGTTTAAGGGAACATCTTAACCGGAAACCATGGTTTTTACCATCAAATATAGGGCTTTCCTTTAAATTTTCCCATCATCCAATTCTATGAATTATTGGTTATCATTCTATTAATTTGTTTGTTAAAATGATAATAGTAGACAATTATGTTCTCATCTATGGGTATTATTGGAATAATAGTTATTGAGTTGGTTACCCTGTATTACCATTGATTGTTGAATAATTCAACTATTATTGTAAATATGGATAATCAACTATAGTAAATAGTATATCAACTACTGGATAGCTGATTAACATCATTATAGTTGATATTATCAATAGTTGGGTTCTTACTATTATATCAATCTTAGATTATAGTGGAGAATAGTTAAGAATAGAAGATAGTTATACTGTTCCCAAGAAATAATCATTATATAGATATAATACATAGTAACTATCTTGTACCTTATTTTTGTATCATTACGAGATACTTTATTATTGAATAACGCCATTGGGGGATACTGGCATCTACTGACCATCTATGGTGTTTTTGGTCAAATGTATTAACCAATAATCTTTAATTACTATTATTATAAACCAATAATCCTTAATTACAGTACTTTTATTTTGTTACTACATATTAGTCAACAGATCAGTTCAATAATGTTAATAGTAGATCATCTTGCTTTAAGAATGAGGATTACTTGGAGGATCACCCCGCTGCTTGGATGACCACAGTTTTTGGGCACTTACTAACCAGGTTGCTACCCTTACGATTGGATGCCTCTCCAAGTAGCAAATATTGGGACGCATGAATACTATTGACAATATAAAATACATAATTGATGATACTATTGAGAATTGCTATTGATGATTGCTACTATGGAAAAAATAGTAACCTGCGACAATTCAATCATTGCATTCGTGCTATCATCTCTTTATTCAATCATTATCAGCAATCCGACGAAGGCCATTTGGGGATGGTACTGACCATCTATGGTGTGAGGTCACAGTATTAACCGATGCATTTTTCAACTACAATGATCACTACTATTAATGCGGATTTAGCATTGTTATTTGGTACTATTTTATTTTATCAGTTGATTACCTAATGGGGATCCAATATTGCTATGAACGATAATTATCATCAACCATTGGTGATCGTTTTTGGTAATATTACCAATATTTTAGTATCAAATGACATCATTTGTTCATCATGATATCTCTTAAAACCAGATTTCAGGCTTTTCCCCTTGTTTTGGGCCGCCCTTTTTGAGTAACAAATACAATATCGTTGAATTAATGGGGGTTAACCACAATGATAATAATGCTGTTTAAGTAATGAGGACTAACCCAATAGCCAACCTACAAATTAACAAACAATGCCGATAGTACATTGAGTATCATTAATTTGCCGTGTTTTTTGGTATTGCTATTACCATTGATAATGCTGTTTGATTAATGGAGGTTAACTATTATTGGTTTTATGGCCCAGTAAAGCCCATCTTGTTGTTGTTTAAGATGGTTTTTAACATGTTCAATACTGCAGCATGGTTGATACTAATTACAATCGTTACTCCATTATGGTTAATCATAATTCCACGGATGCTGTCATTGTAGTATAAACAGGGGTTTGTCATTTATAGGCATAACATTGTTGGAAACATAAACTGGGATAGTACTGAAGCCGCATTAATATTCAGTGCTACAGTAGGTATTATGTAATTGAGGTTGGCTATGACATGGGAATATTCATGGCTTATATACATAATGATTTTATAGAACATTATACTACCATGAATAGTCTGGTAATGATTATCACCACTGGTAATATATATCTATAACATATTTCTTTAAGAGGGATTCACCAGGGATAACCAACAATTGATTCTAGCAATGATTAAGAAAGTATCATACAAAAGCAACATGGTCATTGATAGTAGTAGTCGTATATTGTGACCATAGTATATATAGATATAGCCAGCATACAGTCCGCAATACCTATTGACAAATTTAGCTAACCACAATGTTAATAATCATGGGGATTAGCAACGAGGATTCGATGAATCATTTTACTTATGGTGGTGATCACAATGGGGATTATAATCCCCAAACGGGGATTATCATGATTATACTGGGTGGGTATTGTATACCATTGCATCTTTAATATTCATCGATGGTGTTATCATGGTGATTAGACAATGTTAATGGCAGTAATGAGTATTAATGAGTAATATTTCACTGGAGCAATCATCAATTTCAATACGATTTTTGGATTCATCATTATCATGAATGGAAGTAATAACCATTATGATTATCAACAACAATTAAGAATAATGATGATAGCACTAAATGCCACCAAAGAGAACACTACTACTATATAAAGCCAGTCGACTACCATTAGAATCAAATCATAATACCAATAGTATTTTAAGTAATAATTCTAGTAGGGATTAACCATGGTAATTATATCAAGTGGTTGATGTGAGGCAAGTTCCACAGGACCCCATGGTCGAACCAATACAGGGTCCCGTCAATTCTCCCTTAAAGTAATCCTGGGAGAATAGGGAGTTCTGTTCAGACTTTTCTTTCCGAATCCTTCGATATTATCATCAATATTCTCATCAGCTAAATATTCTGAATCTACTGTCAATTTTAATATCATAATTAATTCTGAATCGTTCTTGGGATAATATTCCAGTTTTTGTTGGATTTTCATTTGCCAGGAGGCCCGGACCACAATTTCCATGGGAAAATGGACATGTCCCAGCCCTGTTTGTTCGAAAAAAGTGAGCTCTTGGCTCTTTTATCGGTTCATGCAAAATATGGCAAAAGCTACTATTCATTATTCTCCAGCATTTTACCTTGGGAAAAGCCAACATCTTTTGATATCTCGGGGTAAATTCAAATAAGCACATGCAAGAACCCACCATTTTATCAGGTAATGTGAGCAACGCAATAAAAAACCACCCATATTTAGATGGTATGCAACACCCATAATAAAATGGTACACTTGGGGATTGCTTTACATTACTTTCCTAACATTATATCATTTTTATATAGATAATTATATATATATATACATATCAACCCGCAAAACTCTGCAAAATGGAGGGATATCATTACATGTAAATTTGGATATTTTATGATAGTTTACTTAATTAACAGTTGGATCCTGAAACTAACCAATGTTTACTGGAAACTAATCTTCCAAGCCCGACAACTGGCAGGGTCTATGTTAGTCTCCCAGAGGGCTCCAGGGCCCAAACCGTGGCACGTAGCCACGCGGAGTGGTGTGGAGATGCCTTGCGCCACCACTGCGGATGGTTTACACGACCTATTCATGGGTTACAGATGGTTTAATGTGGGGTTTATATACTCATCTATTGCTGGTGATTTTTTCCATCATTAATCACTATTACTATGAATCACTATCGGGGATGGCTTGTGATTAAAACATGATTGGGTTTAGATGGGTATACCATATGAATTGCTTATAATTCTTCCAGGGGGACCAACTCAAAGTTTTCAACCGGAAATACGGTAACTCTTAGATCTGGAAAAACGGAAATTTGATGAGCCAAAAATGCTATAGGTTCCGATTGAATTGTGGGTGTTCCAGCTGGTGCTATATATATATATATGTATATATATATATAGATTCCGTGAAAACAACTTGGGTTTCCACCGAGCAGCAGTAGCATAATTACAAATAACAATGGATTTTAAAGCAACCGTTACCACCTGGCTCTTGATCATTGGGGGGATAGCATCATGGTAACCCCATCATCAACCAGGCTTACCAGTTCTCATCCACTGGTGGAGTTTTCACAGGCTAGATTGTGACAACTCATAAATCACAGCAACAATCCCCAAAAATAGTCTGGTTGGTGGTTTTAACCATCTTGAAAAATATGAGTTCGTCAATGGGAAGGATGACATCCTAAATGTGAAACGGAACATAAAATTCATGTTTGAAACCACCAGTAGTGCATCAACATCAGATCAGCCAGGATGATCCTTTTCCAAGTTCAATCGCTTCACGGCGACACCAAGTTGCTCTGGAAGTTCTTCTGCAACTTTGGCCTGTCGGACCCGTTTTGTCAAAAAGCAACTGCTCTGAGGTGCCCGCCCATAAAAAACCGAGAGCAAACAAATACCGACCTGGAGAATGTACTGAATGTAATTAAAGGATCGAATGTGTTTTATCTTGTTTTATGTTGTTTGATTGTTATTAAGCATTATTAGCTGTTCAGCTGTTCTTAAGGGATTGCCAATAAACAGCAAAACTGCAAAATGGAACACGGAAGAAAGCAATTCAAACTCCGCCCGCCCAGCGAGGCTTGGACGCACTTCGGCACTGCCGAATTTGGGAAACTTCTTCGCGCTGCGAATTTGGAAGTGAACTAAACCTCCATTTAATTCAGGGACTTCCCAGCTAGCAGTGTTTGATTACCAGAGGGTATCCCAATTGTTGTTTAAATATGTTTAAATCCCATTAAAATCATTAAAGTAAACCCCATTTAATCACATTAAATCATATGAAATCCCATTACCCTCTGGTAAACTAACATAGACCCTGAAAATAGCAAATTTTTAATGGAAACTAGTCTTCCAGCCCCTATCTGCCAGGGTCTATGTTAATTTACCAGAGGGTAAATCACCATTTCTTGTTGGATCTTAATGGTAAAACCAACATTTCCAACGATCCATAACGATCCCTTGCAGGCGATTACTGGATCCCCCCCGCCTGAGGCGTTCCAAGAATCCGTCCCTGCACGGAGTGCACGGAGTGGTGCACTCCGTGCACCGTCCGTCGCCCGGAGTGGTCGTTTCTTGCCTGGGGCCCGAACTGCCACTTGGTGGCTCATCCCACTTAGTAAATGGGTTATAACCCCAGTTATAAATGGGATAAGTAGGGTTAATCCACTTACAACTGGGGTTATAACCCACTTACTAAGTGGGATGAGCCACCAAGCAGGGCATGAAGGCATAAAATGGCTGAAAATGACCCATTTATAGCTGGTTATAGCTGGTTTACCTATTGAAGATGGTGATTTTCCAGTTCGCAAACTGAGTTGGTTTACCAGAGGCCTAAGGTCACGGTCCCAAGCGAACCTCAAATTGGGCACCTGAAAGTCTTCATCCATCATGACTGGGATATCATTCATTGGCATTAATTGGTATTAGATAATTGGTTACTGGGAGGATGGCCGACCATGCCCTTTGATGGGGAACATATGGGACAAATTGGGACAACATATAAAACATGTTTTGACCCTGACTCAGATGGAGGATGATCGTCTTTCCCTGGCGCGACCCAAACCAATCCCCCCCTTGGCACATGAGGGAAAAGAGGAGACTCAGACCTCAGTTTTCACAGCGCAAAACAACAGCCGATCCAATTTGTACAGCCTCACAGACTCACAGAGGTAAAACACGCGGCCATCTTTGGCTAGAACTATCCTCCCCAAAAAGGCAAACACATGGGTGTGAAGCAAATGATTATAGATGGATCCAAACATCAAATAAATAATGTGCCCTGTGCCAGTGATTTATTAGCATTCCTACAAATCAATGATTTAGGTAAATCATAGCTAAATCATCTGTCCATACATGGAGGATCAGGGATCATGGGGGACCATTTTCATCTATCTTCCATAGCTATGTTAATGTACCAAAGGGTAAATGATTTATAGTGGAAACGAAGTCCAATGAAAGTGACAACAAGATAGCAAATCTATATAGCATAAAGATGTATAGCAGCAGCATCATACAATTTGTGGAACATGTAGCAGCTAAAACTCAAATCCACCGATCATCCAATCCTTGGTCTTCCCGACCAGACCGCATGGCTGCGCTTCTCCGGTGGCAAGCTGCCGGTATAATTGGACCTCAAGCCCGGGGACAGGTGCTCAAGCCAATGCCACAACTAGCATTTGGGGATGATACCCTCTGGTAATTTAACATAGCTATGGAAATTCACCATTTTTAATGGGAAAACTCACTATAAATGGCAATTTTCAATAGCTATGTTAGTTTACCAGAGGGTACTTACTAACCTTTACTAAGCATTTGAGGACATGGAAACATTCTCTACTTCACATCCTGAAAATTATTTTCAATGTTTCTAGGGCTCTTCTGTGGGATAAAGCATCTCCAAACATAGCAATGTAAAAACTCAGGAAAATAGTGATCCAGTGATCAATGACTTTTCTATCGTTTTGGGGCCGTGCTATGCACGACGGCTAGCACAGTAACCATGTCACAGACGAGTCACTCTCTCCGCACGCCAGCCACGGGCTCAGCTCCATCCTGGTGGTGCTGTGTTAATATTTTTCCGAGACCGAATGAAGGGAGTCCCGAAGTTGAAGACACCAGAAAAGTGGTAGATAGTGACATAGTGGTAGTAAAGTAGCATGAAAAATGGAGATTCAACTAGGACAATTGGGATCAATTGGGGTCAAGTTTTTTTGACTGAAGAATTTCAATCACCACGATTCTACGGGCGAATCTTCACCAACTGTCATCGGGAAGGTGACCTGTATTTGAGCATAAGATCTAGGAGGTTTTAGTCAATCTTACCCGCAAAGAGACGTGGACATTGGTGATTTGGGAGCACTTTACCAGCAAAACAGGGAGAGATACTTCCGCAACGTTTTCTTATGAATATATGGGGTGATGCAACTAATTGCTGATGAACATAGCATGGGTCCAAGCTCACTCCTATTCTTCTGACGCGGCAGGCGAAATGGAGCACAAGAATTGATGATCTCTCATGAAAGTGGAGCTCTTGTAAGTCACATGACCAACAAGGAACGGCGCAGCTTGAAGAACATCTCCTAACATCAGGTGCAGAGTGTGATGGTGTCAGCATGTGTCAGCCTTTCCCACGGGTGCCTCCTTACTCCCTCGCCGTGAGACACGCTCAGAGCGGGCAATTTGAACCTGAAGCGGAGGAATGGGCTTGATCTTACGCAGTTTTCATCAGGGAGTCTTGATCAATTGCCTCAATAGCTCCCCCCAGTCAAACAAACTGGTGCCGCATGGTTTGCTAAGTTGGCTTATAACATCTTATAACTAGATCAACTAGGGTTCATGTTGATAATAATTGTATAATTATACTTCGGATTTGTAAACAAACTTATGCCCGGGGGGGTGCCAACTTGTTTGGACAATCATAGGTATTGACCCCCTGCTGAATCCCCCAGGTACCTGTTCCCCGTTGCTGACGCCCAACAACTCCGCCAACTTGGTAGAAATGAGCACGATGCCCGTGGGCACTGCTGCACCTGAGGGTTTCAGGCTTGGGATTTCAACCCGTCATAAACTGACTGTAAAGATATGGGGCGTCGACCGACAATACGAATCAAATGAATCAATCACTCAAGACTTGGACATACTTGGACCAACCATAAATAGCAATAATGGAGGGTTTGCTCAAGCAATCTTGGGCAATGCTCAACTGGCTGCTGGTTTCAAGCCATCAAAAATCTCTGCCATCCCAAACACCATCGGCCATTTTAGGACCACTCGGAACTGTCTCTTGGATTTACTTAAGGGGATGCCCCTCCCCCACCCCCCCAAAAATCTACATATTTCCAGTAGATGTCCGGAAAACTAGACGACGGATGGCCCGAGAGCGTAAGAAGGGGCAGAGTCTTCTGTTGTTAGTATGGAGACACTATATTACAAGATAATATGATAAAGATGTATTATAGGCAGACGAGAAGAGTAGTATCAAGACAATATATGACTAGTACAAGACAATAGTTTGCATCGTATTTTTGTAAAGTTTTTCATACACAGAACTTTTTACAGACAGACGCTTTTACACACAGACGATTTTGCATACAGAGACTTTTACACCCAAACACTTTTACACACAGAGACTTTTACACACACAGACGCTTTTACACACAGACGCTTTTACACACAGAGGCTTTTACACACAGACGCTTTTGCACACAGACGCTTTTGCACACAGACGCTTTTACACACAGACGCTTTTTACACACAGGCTCTTTTACACACAGACGCTTTTACACACAGAGACTTTTACACACAGACGCTTTTACACACAAGCGCTTTTACACACGGACGCTTTTACACACAGACGCTTTTACACACAGAGACTTTTACACACAGACCCGTTTACACACAGAGGCTTTTACACACAGAAGCTTTTACACACAGACGCTTTTACACACAGACGCTTTTACACACAGACGCTTTTACACACAGACGCTTTTACACACAGAGGCTTTTACACACACAAGCTTTTGCACACAGACGCTTTTGCACACAGACGCTTTTACACAAAAACACTTTTACACACAAACACTTTTACACACAAACACTTTTACACACAGACGCTTTTACACACAGACGCTTTTACACACAGATGCTTTTACGCACAGACGCTTTGACACACAGATGCTTTTACACACAGACGCTTTGACACACAGACGCTTTTACACACAGACGCTTTTACACACAGAAGCTTTTACACACAGACGCTTTTACACACAGACGCTTTTACACACAGACGCTTTTACACACAGCCGCTTTTACACACAGCCGCTTTTACACACAGCCGCTTTTACACACAGCCGCTTTTACACACAGACGCTTTTACACACAGACGCTTTTACACACAGACGCTTTTACACACAGACGCTTTTACACACAGACGCTTTTACACACAGACGCTTTTACACGCAGAAGCTTTTACACACAAACACTTTTACACACAGACGCTTTACACACAGACCCTTTTACACACAGACGCTTTACACACAGACCCTTTTACATACAGACTCTTTTACACACAGACGCTTTTACACACAGATGCTTTTGCACACAGAGACTTTTACACACAGGCGCTTTTACACACAGACGCTTTTACACACAGACGCTTTTACACACAGACGCTTTTACACACAGATGTTTTTAGACACAGACGCTTTTACACACAGACGCTTTTACACACAAACGCTTTTACAGACAGATGCTTTTACACACAGACGCTTTTACACACAGACGCTTTTACACACAGACGCTTTGACACACAGACGCTTTTACACACAGAGACTTTTACACACAGTTGCTCTTGCACACAGACGCTTTTACACACAGACGCTTTTACACACAGAGGCTTTTACACACAGAAGCTTTTACACACAGACGCTTTTACACACACAACCACACATTTTTACCTCAGTTTTTGCCGATCGACCCTCATTTCGTGCGAAAGGGTTGCTCCGGCACAAGTCAAAAATCGCAATTTTTCCGCAGTTTTTGACGATCGACCCTCATTTCGTGCGAAAGGGTTGCTCCGGCACAAGTAAAATCGCAATTTTTCTTCAGTTTTTGACGATCGACCCTCATTTCGTGCGAAAGGGTTGCTCCGGGACAAGTAAAATCGCAATTTTTCCTCAGTTTTTGACGATCGACCCTCATTTCGTGCGAAAGGGTTGCTCGGGGGCAAGTAAAATCGCAATTTTTCTTCAGTTTTTGCCGATCGACCTTCATTTCGTGCGAAAGGGTTGCTTTAGGACAAGTAAAATCGCAATTTTTCTTAGTTTTTGCCGATGTGCGAAAGGGTTGCTCCGGGACAAGTAAAATCGCAATTTTTCCTCAGTTTTTGACGATCGACCCTCATTTCGTGCGAAAGGGTTTCTCGGGGGCAAGTAAAATCGCAATTTTTCCTCAGTTTTTGACGATCGACCCTCATTTCGTGGGAAAGGGTTGACGTTTCGTGACTCGCCGCCGGCACCACCCTCGGCCTTAAGAGAGAAAGATAAAGAAGGCGAGAGAGAGAAAAGGGAGAGAGAAAGGAGAGAAGATGTGAAGATGAGCAGATGTGAGAGAAGATGTGAGAGAAGATGTGAAAATGAGCAGATGTGAGAGAAGATGTGAGAGAAGATGTGAAGATGAGCAGATGTGAGAGAAGATGTGAGAGAAGATGTGAAGATGAGCAGATGTGAGAGAAGATGTGAGAGAAGATGTGAGAGAAGATGTGAGAGAAGATGTGAGAGAAGATGCGAGAGAAGATGTGAAGATGAGCAGATGTGAGAGAAGATGTGAGAGAAGATGTGAGAGAAGATGTGAAGATGAGCAGATGTGAGAGAAGATGTGATGAGCAGATGTGAGAGAAGATGTGAGAGAAGATGTGAAGATGAGCAGATGTGAGAGAAGATGTGATGAGCAGATGTGAGAGAAGATGTGAGAGAAGATGTGAAGATGAGCAGATGTGAGAGAAGATGTGAAGATGAGCAGATGTGAGAGAAGATGTGAAGATGAGCAGATGTGAGAGAAGATGCGAAGATGAGCAGATGTGAAGATGAGCAGATGTGAGAGAAGATGTGAAGATGAGCAGATTTGAGAGATGTGAAGATGAGAAGATGTTTTACAGACCCCCACTATTGGAAGAACCCTGCGCTCAGACGCTCTCGGGAAAAAAGGTAGATTTGCCAATGGGCAACTGCTACTCATGACTGTTCAGCATATCCAAGTTGACTTTTTTTGCACCCCAAATCCCATGGTTTCCCAAGAAGTTCTCATGAAAAGTGTCAAATTTTCGGGGTTTTATCCATTTTTATCCATTTTTGGGATGACCCCACAATAGTATGACTTCCCCAGTCGCGCCCGCTGTCCAGGCGCTCAAATGCACCACTGCCACGTGGTCGCGCCCGGCAGAGCCCAACTTTCGAAGGGTCACCTGTGGCCCAGGTCACCATCAGAGGCGACAATGGAGTTTGTCTTTTTCTCGGGGATGGGCATATCATTTGGTGTTGGCAAAATCCTCTATACATCCACATGTATATATATATATAATATATATATATATGTATATGTATATGTATAACATGTATATACCATCTACCATCCCCAACAGTTTGAAACCTGACCTAGAGAAACTTGGCAATTTTTTTGACGAAAGTAGTCTTCCAACCCCCAACTTATGGGTCGTCACGTTAGCTCAAGGGCTAGTAGCACCCCTTCAACATCCTTTGACTATGTAACATAGACCCCTCCATGAGTTGAAGCCTGTGATAGCTGGGGAGGGTTGTGAAAAAAATCCCTCTTTGTTGATTAACCAGTGGGAAAAGGACGTAAGGACGGTGGGATGGGGAGTTGTTCCATACCTCCCAGCATTCCATCACAAAGAAACATCATGACATCATGTTCAATGGTAATCTACGTGAATTTGCTAAGCTTAAGGAATCCCCGAAAACTGAAAAATATTCCTTGTAGATTCCCCAGTCGTAGTGGATTTCCCATTGGCCATGTGTTATGCCACATGAGTATGTCTGGTGATGCTACTGCCGATATGTTCCCTGGCGCTTCGTGGTCTGCAGTTCGTACCTAGGATCATATATTGTTACATCACACATTGAAAAATTTATACGTTTTTCTCTCAACATATGGCTTTGATTATGGGCCAAATTTGAGTAATTAACTCATATCATTGTGCTCAACATATGGCATCATGGGCCAAAACTGAGTACCCTTTGGTTATTTAACATAGCCATGGAAAATCACAATTTTCAATGGGTAAATCCACTATATATTTCTATGGCCATTTTCAATAGCTATGTAACAAATTACCAAGAAGGGTATCTTAAACCTACTACATCAACCAAAGATTCGAAAAACATGGCCATTTATAGCGAGTTTTCCCATTAAAAATGGTGATTTTCCATAGTTATGTTAGTTTACCAGAGGGTAACTCAAATTATGATGGCCAACGGTTGCCCATCGCCTCTCCCAGGTTCTTGGTATTGTTTCCAGCTGTAGCTGGACTCACCTTCACCAACCTCCGCGGTCGTTTCGGGGAAAAAACGTGTTTAAGTCGGTTGATAAACCCACCAAAGTATAGTTCGAATCATCATGAAATCCAGTGAATTTATGGAATATAAACCTACTTAGCTAATCACAGGGCATAAGGATTGTGGAGGCATTCCGGTGGCTAAGTCATGTATGAGATCAAGCCTTCCAAAGGGTGTTTTTCAGAATGGTAACTGCTGAAAATTTTCCACACAGCCTATGGTTTTTTCAACCTGGCACTGGAAAATGACCCATTTATAGATGAATTTCTTAGCCATAAACCTTCACCTTCTGGGGATTTCCCAGCTAGCCAAATCTGATTAGCGAAGGGTAGCTCAACAACAATTCTGACAGGATCCCGTGCACTTTCTGGCGCCCACCCACATCTCAGAAGCATTCAAGGTCTCAAAAATATCTAGAGCACAAGGAATTACAAGTGGGATGATTTTGGAATGTAGCTAAGCCTAAGCACACGATTGAACTATATTAAACTTAAGGTTTTCTTAGTTTAGTTTTAAGAGTAAAAGGAGGTGGATTTGCCCAAGTATGCGTGAATCATATCATTAACCTAGATCAATTACAGAAATTCACCAACATGAAAATCTTCGGCCATTTTCGGACCCTCACCGTAATCACCCCAATCCTCACCATCATTGACGTTGTGACGTTGTGGCAACGTCGATATTAAGCATCAAAAAACATCAACTCCATCAAACAATATATGCTTAACGATCCCCATTATATTCCCATACTTCAGCAAATATTCATCCGATCATTCAAATGTTCATGAAAACACATCTCCCAACGATATACCCAACATTACCCAACAACCATTACATCCCCATAACAGCAACCTCAATGAATTCTGAAAAGCTGGACACCTCAAGCCAGGAGGAAAATATCATGAAATATCATTCAACTACCATCTTGGAAACACTGTTCGACACCTTTTTGGGGATTCGTATATTAAAATCAGTGGATGAACATCCATCATTCATACATACTGTATATATATATATATATCAATATCATGTTTAACGTATGATGATCCAATGAGAAACAATATGATGATATATGACGGTTTCCTAGAATGGGGGATCCCCAAAACCATGCGTTTCAATACTAAACTGGTCTATAAAAGTTTGGATGATTTCGGGGTACCCCGCAATTTTTAGGAAACCTCCATTTAGTTTATAAACCACAGTAATCACAGATATATCTACCATAACCCCAAACGCGAAATTGGAGTTCTGTTCACCACCTTTATGGAGCATCACCTTGTAGGATATATATACCATCTGGTTATTTAACATAGCCATGGAAAATCACAATTTTTTATAGGTAAACCATCTATAAATGGACCATTTTCCATGGCTATGTTAAATAACCAGAGGGTATATATATATATATATACATGTATGTATCCTCCATAGATGTTCATTCACCCAAACATCTTCGCAGTTCGCCAGGCCGAGGGGCAACTTGGGGATTCCCTCCTCCAGTCGTGCCGCGGCCACCAAGCTTGGGCCCTCCATCAGGGCCACGGCCCTCAGCCTGAGGTTTAAGGGAAAATCTTCACCGGAAACCATCGGTTTTCCCATGAAATATGGGACTTTCCTGTAATTTTTCCCTTAAACCAATCCATTGATTGATATGATCCATCATTGATTTTTTGTTTGATTGACACGATTGATATGATCTTGTTATGACTTTTGTCAACTACAAATGGCGTTCTTTCTTTTAATCTGGTGGTATTTTCTCCTTTGTCTTTTTTTACAAGCTATAGGTAGTGACTTTTGTCCTCAACTATGGCTAGAAAAAGGAGGATAGGCGATGTTTTTCCAACTATAGATTGTGGATCTGGAAGCTATAAATGTGTTTTTGCTTGAATCTACCGTTTATTATCCTTTACAATAATCTATAGGATGGGGGGGTGGTAGCATTTATGAAATCCCTTACTTCAGATTTTGAAACTAACGTATGATTCCATTCTTGGTGATCTTGGTGACTTTTTTTATCTATGGTAATTGCTGGCTGACCCAGCCCCAAGAACATTTACCCTCTGGTAATTTAACGTAGCTATTGAAAATGGCCATTTGTAGTGGATTTTCCCATCAAAAATGGTGGATCTTTCCATAGCTACGTCAAATTACCAGAGGGTACTATCATTTACTGCCTGACTTCTGGCTGAATTTCTGGCTGGAACTGGAACTAACAGCCGCTCCTCTGGAACAGGCAGGAACTCCCCAAGGGGAAAATGATCCTAAAATGGTTCGTTTTCCACATCTATTAGGATGTCTTGGGTATGTAGATTATCTGGTACCCTCTGGTAAACTAACATAACTATGGAAAGATCCACCCATTTTCAATGGGTAAACTCACTATAAATCACCATTTTCAATAGCTATGTTAAATTACCAGAGGATACTTCAAAAACCCCCCAATGTTGCTGATGAGACAATCACTGGCGATTTGAGTTGGTTACTAGCTGGTGAGCCAACCCATGAGAACATTACATACCCAAATGGAGGGCAGAATGGGGTTTCAATCGAAAAACAATTGGGAGCTAGTAGATGCTAGATATGCTAGCATTGGATACAGTAGATTCTCTGAACGAAGGTTAAGGGACTCATCCGAACGATCATCCCATTTGGATGGACAAAACCGCTTTCTAGGAGAAAGTGCATGCGAGTTGTGGCCCATCCCCAAGTGCCTTCCGGCGGCATCACTGTGCAGCACATGGCGCGCGGAAATGCCATACCTCAAAAACCGCTGCCTGAGCTGCGCTTTTTTTCCGCAGCTTGGGTGATCTGACTGTGTGCGGCCTGAGATCTGATGTATCTGAAGCCACATGTGCGGATATCTGATGAAGTATCTGATGAAGTATCTGATGATAGCTGGTGATATCGATATCTGATGCTGGCAGCTTTTTGATCATTTGGTGAAGCGATCCAGGCTGAGTTTGTCCATTCAGCTGCTTCCATGTTGTACTGAAGCCAGCTGAGCGTGGTGACTTTCTTCAAGAATCATTGCACGTCATGGGGCTAAATGGACCTCATGGAGCAGCACCTTTGAAGGGTGATGCACTGAATCACCGATAGCCACGATAGCGAATTACCACTTAAATCAGCGTGATTATGTGACATAATGTGATCATTTTATTGGTGATTTAAGGGACCGGAAGACATGCTACCTCTGATTTGGACATGTGGACATGCATGTGAGGGTGCGATGAGGCTACGTGATTTTAGTGATCAATAATAGTAGCAATGAAATAAAATATAGATTTTCTAGTAATATAACACATATGTAATTATATATAGAGTATATAGTTATAGATAGTTACCATATATAATCATATTAATCATACATTTACGAGGATGGAATGATTCACCCCACCTGGGCCTAAAAACACAAAGGCAGAGCGGCAGATCTATTCCACGTTCGGCTCCCTGACGAACAAATGGCTGGGGTGCATCCACCACATAAAATGGTCAGTCTGTTCGAAGTAGCTATCAGTTCTTATCTTGCCACACGCACATACACAGTATATCTGGTTGGTGGTTGGCCTACCCCTCTGAAAAATATGAGTTCGTCAGTTGGGATGATTATTCCCAATATATGGAAAATATTCCAAACCACCAACCAGATCATCATCATATTCCTATTGTTGTTGGTTCTACCCTATTAACCACTATTAGTTATTAATATCACTATATGTATGTGTATATATATATATATTATACATATATGTACACATATTGCCACAAACCTACGTGATCTCACTCCAAAAGCCTTCTCATGCCAACTCAAACCTCCCAAACTCACCGCCCCAAAGCCTTCTGGGGGCCTTGCAACGTCACCGTTTTTTTTTTTTCGGCCTTTTGGGGCGTCCCAGCTGGAGCTTCCACCATCTTTCTGGTGGTCCGTGCACTGAATTGGCGAGACTGTTTCTCAGCTCAACACGGCAGTAGCCTCGATGCAGGGATTACAGCCGAAAGATCGCACGTAGCCTCTACTGACACCCAGAAAATATGGTGAATATGGCGAAATTGAATTGATCAAGACACATGCTATAAACTATAAATATCATTAAATATCTATCTATATAACTTATATATCTACAGTATATCTATATCTACCCTATACCTCCAAACCCTGGAAATTTCTCGGGTTTGTGAGTAAACCTCGGTTTTGTCGGGCAATGGAAACCCCGGAAAACCCGGTTTTTGGCCAAAACCCATTTTTTTCCCCAATTTTTTGCCGATGTGAAGATATCCAAATGAATTTGACATTAAGGCTCTGCTCATTTGATTTGACAAGCATGGGTGCTGTTTGAAGCAATCTCTTTTCGTGATTTTTTTGTGGACCACACCGGAAATGATAACATATGATAACATTTAATCCAACTGACTGCATATTTTTTCAATTTTTTTGCAGGTAATCTGGGGGGGGGGTTTGCTTCCAACCTCAAACCCATATAAACCCATGATTTACCCGTGTTATAACCGTGATATACCCGTGATTTGCACCCAAAACCCTGGTTTGGGGCAGTTTCTGTACAAAACCGGGATTTTCCACAACCCGTGATTTACCCGTGATATAACCATGATTTACCCATGATAACCCATGTTTTGAAACACGGGTTCGAGCCACCAAACTGTGCTGATATTTTTCACACTTCTTTATGACATTTTATTTTAAATAAAGGCATGGATGCGCGGATAAGTCGGACCATTAAGATCGGGCAGTCCCGTCGAAAGAGCCGAACATATCAGCCCACTACTTCAACATACCTCGTGGATCTTCTAGAACAACAGCCAGCTACAATCTGCAGTGAAAAGGGCAAAACCGGATTTTACCCGGTAAAACCCGTGTTTACCCCTCACGCCTGGAAATTTCTCGGTTTTGGAAGGGCAGGGTATCTATATGATAGTCTATATGTATAGGAATTAAAAAAGTTTTTCGTAACGTTGAGCTTCTTCCCCTACCCGTGCACCCTCTTCCCATCCATGGCTATCCATGGCCGGGCAACGAGTCTTCGCTGTGCAGCAAAAGCTTGGTTTCCTCATCACCCATGGCTTCATCTACTGGTGCCACCGCCAACCTTTGGCGCGGAACATGGGGCCAGATTTTGATGGTGCATGGCGTGCAACAAAAACGAGAATTGGGGGGGTAAAATGATGTAAAATGTGGTACAGCCTATGGAAAATGCTCATTTATAGATGATTTGCCTATTGAATTGGGGGATTTTCGATAGCAAAGTCTTAAATTACCAGAGGGTAAATCCAATTGGTAAACCATGTTCTCTACAAACGATGTTTACCGCTACCATGTGGCTTAACCATCCCCACAGCATCACGCCAAGCATCCAAATGGTGCCTGACGGTGATAGAGTCAATTCTAAGAATGAGTCCTGCGGCAATGCCCGAGGGCATCTGGGTTTCCAAATGTTTTTTCTTCTCCTCCCATTTTTTGGAAAAACACCTTACAGATTAAAATTCGCTGGAATCAATGCACCATACTACATGAACATACTTTATTTGTACTAAATATGACACATATAATGACATGGATGTTTCATCATGTTTCATAGATAATCATATATAGTATCTACTTATACATGTGCATTTGCACATTCCTTCACAAGGGGGAAACGGAGGGAAGTCCCTTCGTCGCTACCACTCTCCCAGGCCTCGGTATAGGAGAACGTGCTTCGACGTTTTCCCGTCTGATCCTCACAAGTTCCAGAGGGCGGACAGCGGTCTCTGGTAAACCAACAGTTTGCTATGGAAAATCACCATTTTTCATGGGAAAATCCACTATAAATGGGTAAACCAACTATAAATATAGGTAAACCAACTATAAATCTCCCATTTTCCATAGCTATGTTACATATACCAAAGGGTAAGCCATGGAAAATGGTGAGGTAGTTCCGGTTCCGAGAAAAAAAAACTGAAAAATGTGGGCCAACCATCAACCATTTGAGTAGAATTTGAGTTTATCGTCATGATTGATGATATAAACCATTCAACATTAAATAATATCAAATATTCCATCTGACTGGCCCCCCAATTCATGAATAGATAAAGTACTAGTTACTAAACCATGGTTTCGCTTGGGGGGTTTCAATATTAGGGGGAAGGGGTGATTTGCCCACCAATGAATGGGGATTTGGTTTAAAGTTTCAAGGATGTTAGGGTGAAAACACTTTTGGATGATCACATCCATGCTTTCCATTGCTTTCCTGTCCATTTTCCCTGGAACTTTGGCCGTTCCTCACATCGCTTCCCTGCACCGCAAACTGTGACAATGGCCTCTATACCACAAAGCTCCCGCGTGGAAAGAGTCACTCGCGCCTCGGGATACCAAGGTGGACCATGACCAGAGGTGATGGTTTTAGGCTCATGTCTGGCTCGTAACATGACTGGCTTGATTCATTGATTGATCTAAGAGACATTTTTGCAGGAAACCATTGCTGCATATTGCTGCCAGGCAGCTTTTCCATCCACTTGTTTGGGACGATTCTTCAGTCATTTGCAGGGGCTTCAACCCTGAAATGTCAAATTAGTGAATTAGTGGGGGTAATCAATCTTCAAATCTTCAAAGGCCTATCTGTTGGAGTGGCTTACCGCAGTACCTCATGCCAGCTTGCATCGGGCCCTCCAGGGCACCCCAGTTACGGCCGGGCCACAACTTCTGAGTTGGCTAACAGCGACTGATCTTTCACCAGCAGCGTCATCAATGCGTCAGCAGCATTCTCCTCAGTGCATCGGTACTAATATCGGTACCTGCTCTGGGAATGCGGGAGATATCAACCATCGGAGCGCTTGGGATATGTTGGGATACTAAAGCTATTGAACACATGTTGGATCATGTTGGCATGTTCCTCAAGCCATCAGCTCCTGAACTAATTGAAATGTTTTCATGGTTCCCGTCATGCCGTCTTTCAAGTGACAATATTGATACGCTTTTTTTTTCAAGTTGTAGGGCCTCCCAGAGAAAAGTAATAGAACCCAAACCAGGCCAAATGACTCTAGATCACCCTCAGCCCAAGAAGACCTAACGTTGTCCTTGACCCATTGAAGCCTTTAGTATGGTGCAGTTCACCAAGCCAAGCCTCACCAAAACAAATTACCGAAATCTATGAAAGGAGTCCGGAACTTTTTTGGAATGCGATGTTTGTTCTTGAGTTTTGCTCCTGTTCGTTCGCTTTTCTTACTTGTTTTGCCTTTTAGACACTCTTTCTTTTTGGCTTCATTTGTTGGACTTTTTTAGACTTTTAATGTTTGTCTAGATTTCTTCATATCTTGAATTGGCAAAAGAAAGGTTTCAATCAAGACTTGTTCAACAGGTTCCCAGGACTTCCTGTCTAACAACAACCTGTGCAGGAAATGGTCAGGCCGAATAAACTCTTTTCTGTGCAGGACTCCTAGTCCCAAACAAGTTGAAGAAACCATGGAATGAAGAGGGTATGAAAGGAGAACCATGATGTTGGACGAGTTCCTTCATGCTGTCAGGGGGAGTTGTCTGAATTTGAAGTGCCATGAAAATTACTATGTATGAACCTGACAACGGGGAATCCCCTATGTACTTGTAGTTGGTTTAAATAATCATCTTCCGTTTGAAAACGTGTTTCTCGGTAGCCACTGAAACCACGGGACATCTGCTTCCCAGCGAGTCACATCGATATTGATCTGAAAGGACTCACGAATCACAGCTTCACTTCCTGCATTGTTATGCACCCGCGTGCGCATGGGCTCATTGTAACCTGGCAATGGCTGGGCAAAGTATCACAGGAGAATCGAGAATCGTCTTCCAAGGTTTTTTTTTTTGGGGGGGGGAACATAAGAACTCAAACGTGGCACCTGAAAATGACACATTTTTGTCCATGCGATCGTGTTTGTATACTGAGTTTTGATTTTCTCCCATCGAACGCGTTTGCTAGTGGACAGTATTTGACATGTTTGAAGAAGGCTTAAAATGTTCCCAAGTAGTGAGGATTCTGCAGAACATTGGCATCTGGTCCCGTCACACCGTGAGTGTTGTTGAGATAAAAAAAACTCGCCCAATGATGCCATCTAGGTGGGTCAATTTCGTTGACCATTTGATTTCGATCTTAAATATCTCAAATATCCTAATCATCTTATCTGCAGCTTCATCCTCACACTTTCAATGGAGAGACCCATGTGGCACTCGACAAAGAGATCGTTGGGCTTCGTGAGTTTGGAGGAAGCGCTCTGTAAGCCCTTTACCTGCCACACCACATGCACCAAAGGATCTCTCATGCCATGGTCAAATCACACCTTCTATAGGGTATGGCCGTCCAACCACTATTGGGTGTTTATACCCGGTACCCCTCAAAATAAATCGAAAGCCGGGCATAAACCATCCCCCAACATGGGGTCTTCATGGATGCTCAACGTTTTTCAGCGCAAACTCTGACGATACGCGTCTACCGGGTTCCATCTGGTTGAGCGACGCTCCAGTCCCTGGTGTTAGCCTTCCAAATGAAGACCTCCACGGGGCGTTGGCGTCTTCCGAAGCCACATAAATCCTTGGCTGGTCTCAAAGTGGCAATACTATGCAATACTAAGGATTGGATGGGATAATTGGGGATATCATAGGTTTGTCATAGGAAAATACCTGTACATGGAGCATACAGGGTGCCACCATCCTAGGTATCAGGTACCAAAAAAAGGGTGGAAGAAAAACAAGAACATCTGGGTAGTTTTCATGAATCAAAACCATTTTTAACGGGGTTGAGTGAACTCTGGTATCATCCAACTGCACTGATACCATGCCGATTCCATGGTGCTCGCATATTTCTTACAGTGGATGATTGTTGGGCAACGTTTAGGGGAACACGAAACACACACATATTTATGTATTTATATATATAAATATATATGATTATATATAATTATACGTTCTATATATATATATACACAGTGCACGGACGAAGTGGAACATGGGTATCATCCCACTCTCCACGGTGATAATACCTCTGGTCCATCACTTTTACCACTGGGATGATCCCAACTTTTAGCGCTGAGTCATACGCAAGTTGGGTCATTCAGTCAGCTTCCAGGTATATAGATACATTTATTATATACAGCAGAGATTCTACATGCAGCAAGAGATACAGTAAGTATACATATATATATATATGTACATATAAATATATATATACATATATATATATACATACACTGCATATATACATATACATATATATATATATATGTAACAAGAATTGTGGTACCCAAAAAATAGACACAAGGTACTTTATCAGTATACCTTAGCAGGATTTTACCAACTTCCATTTTTTGGGGGATACTATAGCACCCAAGAGAAAAATGTCGAAACGTGTTTCCAGGATGGTAGTTCGATGCTTTCCACAGGCTTCCAACTTTTTGGCGTCTTTTTTGGGGATTGCTGTTTATATGTGTATATTATTGTATATGTATAAACCATCCGGCAAACATAGCAATGGAAAATCCTCGAACAAAAATGGGCATTTAAAAGGAACAATAACCGAACTAAACGCAGTAATTTCCAGCACGCCATGTTTGATTACCCGGGTTCTGGGGATAATACGTAGATGCGACGATACCAATAGCATGGCAAATACGGGTTACAAATTGACGAATATTATAAAATGTTGAAATTGATGTCGAGGATGTACTACTACATATTCATGTTTGATTACGGGGAGGTATATATAAATTGTGCAATCCATTCCCCGTACATCGTGGACCCCGTTACGTTGTGGTTAAACCATATTAACTAGTTGGAATTGATATATTGATATATGTACATATATATATATACACATGTGTGTGTGCGCGCCTATGTATATAATATGCTATCAAATTTCACGAGCTCCTGGGATTTTGCGATTTTTAGGGAATATTGGATACCAAGGTCAAGATGCAATATTTGGTGCAGTGTACGCGCACAAGGGTCGCACCAAAAAACTTAAGCGTCATGGTTTGCACGGGTTTGCACTGGATCAGCCTTCCATAAATGGAATTGGTCCAATTAATCGTTCAGAAAAAATGAAACGGTCGGAAACAGTCGGAAACATGATCAGGCCAAAACTTGTCCAACCCGCATTTTTTAATAAGCATTTCCGCGCAACGCCGCTTTTTTTTTGAAGGTTGAAAGGTGTCCAAGGGGAAACAGTCGGAGATCGCACCTTCGCTCGGCAAAAAAGAAGTTATTTTGTAGCATGTGTTCATGAAAAATGTTTGAACATTGTGTAAAAACATGTCTTTTTTGCCGGGCGAGGGTGCAATCTCCGACTGTTTCCAACCGTTTCACCTTGGACACCTTTGGACCTTCAAAAAAAAAAGGCGTTGCGCGGAAATGCTATGAAATGTTTTTTTTAAAAAACAAGGCGGGCCAGAGAACCCAAAAGCAAGACGGCACACAGCAAACCATTTTTTTCTGCATGTCGGGAAAAGCACTGTCAGCTCATGCTTTGACCCTGAAGAAATGGAAGAGGTTATAAATTCTTCCGAGAGGGTCTTCGACGCAATTTGGACGTACGGGAAGTTGCTGTGGATCACTCATTGCATTGGTCCCATGTGCACCCGTGGATAGATTGATCCCTTCCAAGCAACCGTTATGAACTGACAGGTCTGACAGAAATCAAGGGGTTCGACTTGTTGTGGGTAGTACTGTACATCCCAAATCCATTGGTTGATCATTACTTTTTGCTGGTGATAAATTGAAGGTACTTGAGGCTCGTTACTCCTGGATAAACCCGTTGGCACCGCATCAATAGCATATGGCGAATGGAGCCATGCCAACCTCCAAAGCAACTGAAAACGATTGCTGTGTGTCAGCCATATGACGAAATTGCCACGATTCTGTGCTAACTGTGCTCTGCACGAACACTGATGTGAACACTGGTGGTTTTTGGTCTCATTTCAAAGACCGGGGGCGACAGCCACAAAGGCTAACAACACTGAAACATATCTACAAATAATAAACAGTTATATAATACTGCGTAGTTCTATGTGCAAATATAAATACACACACACACACAAATCATACAATATAAATAAACATACACACACATATATACATATATAGATACATAAAACATATTATATATATATGTATCTATTTAATTCTATTTATTTCCATGTGCATGGCTATGTTTTATGGCAATGTTTCGCTGCAGGTTCCTCCTCGGGTTCGCATTTGTTATTCCGTAAATTGGATCAAACCAAACATATCACGTCCTGAATGCCGAACATCAACCACTGCATGGGTGCCGCTGCATGTGAGCATCACGCCCTCGGCAGTAACAACATGTTCATAGCCATATGACTCTGTAGTTCATAACTCCTGGGGTATCGAAATATCGCATGAGCAAGTCCATCTAATTTCAAAGGCTAGTGGCAACAGCCAAAACTTTCCATGTTTGAAGGACGTCTCGCAGAATTGCTTCGTTTTTGATGTTGTCAACTTCGAAAATCGAGGAAGTCTTGCAGAAAAACTCCCGTGCAACCACCTTTCGGTCCATCAGTGGATTTCTTTGCCATCCGTGATTCACAACAATCAATCTCTCCTATAGGTTTCCTATGTTTGAAACTTCCACCACCCCCTTGTGCGGTACTAGTGGGAATAGCATTCATATTTATATTTCCATTTGCATACATACAGGTTGGTTATGTTTTGCTTCGGATGCTGTCTCTTCCTCGCGGATCAGTGGACAACATGTGCTCCTGCTAGGTTTGACAATCACGTCTGTAGCAATAAGATGCTATGCCATCTTCAAACAATTCCACGTGGTCTGCAGGAACACTTCTACGGTTATAAGTTAAAAGGGTGAAATCATATTAGGCAAGAACATATTTGGTTTCTTTCAGAGACCCTTCCTCCCTCCCATTGGGCTTGCGTAGATGCAAGAGCGCATTCCATCCCCGACAATTTCTACGAAGCGCCTTCCACAATTTCTTCGACACATACATTCAAACAACTCGACAGAAGTCCTTGGCTTCAGCAAGCTGCTCCTGCGAGCAAATCTAGATGAAATGGCATGTTGTCAAAATGTCGCTTGCCAGAAACCGCCAACTCAGCAATGACATGGGGACCCCGCATGTACCAGACATAGCGACTAGAAGAATGTAGACGAAGCTGTGGTGAATTGTGGCCCCTGACAGCGTCAGTGTTCATGATGTCTCAAGAAAGTTCAACCAGTTCTTGGGCACCTTCCTCCCCTTTGTTGGTTTTTTTTGGCTCTGCATCATCTTTTTCGCGGCTCCATCATCCGCTTCCAGGAAACAGGAATGCATCCCAAGCAGCTGTCCACAAAATCAAATATTCATCATCTGACGTTGTCGTTTTCCGTTTCTTGTGGGCACGGTTCTCTGCTTGGAAGATCTTGCGGCATTCACATAACAAATGCTCCACCAGTGTTAGGCTATACAATGACACACAAGGATGTTCCCAGGACAACAAATAATCTGCATTTTCCGGACCCAAGAATCTGACCGCAAAAGGTCGTAATTCCAGACGCAGCTTCGCCATGACCCTCTGCAAATACTCTTGCCAAATTGGTCCATCGACCGCCGCCGAAACAGTCTCAGCAGGAAACATCTGTTGAAGCATAAGCAAAGCATTTGGTCCCAGAGCACTGCAAGTATGCGCGCTAAACAAGCTATCGTATTTAAGTTCCAAAAACCGCCCAATATGAGCGGCGGCCAGCGCAGGCAAGAAAAATATTTCCTTGAGAAATTTCAAGGTATTTTCTGTGCTCGGGTTTTGCCACAATTCCTCCCAGACTTTGGGGGCTTCCTGGACTACATGTTCTGCATACAATGCGCGGGCCGTCAAAAAGTCATATTGGTTTTGTTCCTTTCTGACGACACCCAAATGGCGGAGGACAGACATCAAGGCATGACGGGTCACGCCCGCCAAGCCTCCGGCACTTGGGCGGCTTTGCGGAAGTGCAAAAACTTGCAAGCAGACAAACCGAGAGGGAAGCCGGCTGGACCAGGAAAAACTTCCAACGTGCTCCGGTGATTGCAGCAAACGACGGAAATTGCAAGGTTTGCCAAGTTTTGGCAATGCGGGTTGGACAAGTTTTGGCCTGATCATGTTTCCGACCGTTTCCGACCGTTTCCGACCGTTTCATTTTTTCTGACCGATTAATTGGACCAATTCCATTTATGGAAGGCTGATCCAGTGCAAACCCGTGCAAACCATGACGCTTAAGTTTTTTGGTGCGACCCTTGTGCGCGCACAATGCACCAAATATTGCATCTTGACCTTGGTATCCAATATTCCCTAAAAATCACAAACTCCCAGGAGCTCGTGAAATTTAATATAATATGCACGTATTTTTTTTAAATATATATATATATATAAATAAATCAAGGGTCGGTAAATACGCTAGCTGAACGTCACCCAACTATCGGGCACATATAATCTCCAACAAATAGTTGAGAGTGTTCAACAACTCCGAAACTGGACATTTTTTCTCCAACCAGTGTACGATTATATAAATAGTAAATAGGTTAATATGATTGATATATACCAGTACTAACATCTATTAGTGTATGCTTATATCACCTACTATTGCTTTATATATGATGTATATCCATATTGGTGATTTATATATGGTAAAGTTAATTATGAAATTAAGTTAAATATTACCAATTGTAAACCTGAACTGTTAAGCATTATTCATACATACTAACCTATCATATATATATAATATATATATATAATATATATCATGTTTCTTGCCCCAGCGTCGCGCCAGCTGAAGCGGATCAAGGTGATGTGCTCCAGGCCCGTGGCCAAGGCGATGCGGTGCCGGAAGCGCCACAGCAGGTAGAAACAAAACCTGCGCAGCAACCGCAACGGGACAACGGGCCCACCGGGGACTGCTTTTTTAAGCGTTAAAAGGGGTGGAAAATGGCGGAAAACATGGGGGAAGTCATGGTGATTTTTGGATGATGAAATTGTGACAGAGTTGCAAAATTTGGTGATTTCACATGATATAGCATGATTTAAGCCAGGAAAAATGGTGAGTTGAAGATGAGTTCCTGGATGTTTGTAAATTTCCCTGATGTTTGTTGGGATAGTGGGGATACAATATGAATAGTTTTTTTGGTTGGAACATCATATTCTTGTGTCAGTCAAAGAATCTTGACATGTTTCTCTTCCCATTTGGCTATGGATCCAAAACCTAGTGGCCTTCTGCTCACACCAAAACACGTTGCAAATGGATGTTCATCCCCCAAATATGGTATAACATGGTATTAACCATCAATAAATTCAATCTCCATTGAACTCCCATTAAACTACCATGGTTTATGGTTATGTAATCCCATTGAGATTGTCCATTAAGTCCGCCTGAAACATGTGAGGCGGGCTCTCACGAAAATGAGGGAGACATCTTGGTTTTTCGCTGCGCCCATTGCAATGAGCAGAATGGTGTTTGGAAGTGATGGCTAGGGAAGGGGTTGAGTGCTGAATATATGGATGCACGGGGCTTATGGATAAATCATAATGTCATAATTTTTTGATCTCCAACAGCCCACACTAACGGGCGAATGCCTATGGTTGGAGATCATGCGGCACAAGTCATAAGACCTGGGCTTTGTTCCTTCTCATCGTCACCGTTGCCGAGCAACAAAATGGAGAAGGACGTTATGAGCTTCTCCGTATGTACGAAGACCCAATCGATAAAACCCACCAAGTAGACCACAAATTCATTGACCTGAAACGATGGATTATGGTGGATATCTCTGCACGAAACGATGGCGGAAACGAAGCCAACTTACAAGGGCCAAGGGCCCCTTCTGGGTGGATCAAATGCTCTTTTTTGATGCAGAAAAAAGTCCGCGAAGAAAGACCAGGTCAGCTGCAATTTCACAGCTTTCGGGTCCGAGGGGCTGTCCAATCGGGCAAAATGCCCAAGGTGAAGAGGAGGATGAAAACATTGAAGTAAGTCGCCTCGAGCAGTGCTGTGGTTAGTTGTTTGGCTAAGTTGGCGATGGAAAATCAATGAAAATCATCCAGTCTCATCACCCAAAAGTGCAAATATCTGATGCTTTTGCTGATTGATTTTTTTTTTAAAATGATATGTCCGATTCAATCATTACCGCGCTTCATTTCTGTTTACTGGTGGTTTGGGGGTGCCTTTACGGACTGCCCGGTGGTTCCATGTGCTTCCGGCCCCCCCAGCTGGAGGATTCACATGATCTGCCACCACTTGTGACTACCTGCATGAGCCAGTTATAACATGTTATAACATGTTGATACATATTGATAAAGGTTATAGCCCGAGATAACCCGAGTTACGGAGAGCACACTGCTTCTCCAAATCATGATCCTTTAATAATGCTGTTTGCATCTTTTTGCACTGTTCTATGTCCATGAGGCACCTACGGGCCCGCAAATGGTTCTCCATCTTTGGTCCAAGTTCTCTTTCAACAAGGCACCAGCAGAAAAAAGGTATGCAGGCGCTTGTAGACAAAGGCTGAGAACGCCCGGCCCGTTCGACTGGTCAACTTCCCACAGATGCAGGGTAAACACCAAATGCCTCGGTGTCGTGTATGGATCCAATACCTTCAGGCTTCAAACCATAAAACGGGGGACTGGGGCGATGGCTTATGACCAACCAGATTTGGGAGATTTCCCAATTTGCTTCATTGAACAAATGCATGGCCGAATAGCATGCGTCTTTTGTTTCATTGGGGTACACTACCTTCCTATTGTATTAGTGGTCAATTCTGGACTTGACGGGGTGTAATCCCTTCCTCTTATTATTAAACCCCGCCCAAATACTAAAAACTAGTGTCCATCTCCAATTTTGCTGGAAAATGTCAGATTGGCCAATCTGACTTTTAATTGATCCCCTTTAGAAAACAATTTGAAAATCAAGCTACCATTTGTGGATTTTCCCCCCTAATACTAAAAACTAGTCAACCCCGGGGTGTTTATTATTACGGTCCGACCAAATTTTTTAGTTTTTTATATTTTTTTTTTTCCGGCCATGGTCGCTAAAGCGTCCGTGGGCCGGCACTGCGACAGCTTAAAATTGTCGTGCGAGAGCCATTTGGTGGATTCGCCTGTTTTGCTCGTCCGTGTTTAAATAGTCCGTCCATCCGTTCGTAAGTTTGTTCCAAATATGTTTATGGGTGAAGTGGCGCCATTGTTGCCTAGGCGCTCCTACCCTCCTTTTACCAATCGGATATGCGTTTGCTGATTGAGGAGAATAAACTACTTGTCTCATTGGGTCCGAGTCTGTTGCTCTCAAAAGGTGTCCAGATAGTTTAACTCGTTTGTCCAAAAGAAGTTCGGAGAAAAGTTTCACTTCGTGCCCAGCTTTTTCGGAAGCCATTCTGAGTACAAATTCGTTGGTGTTTCTTCTGTTAACAAATGTGGGCTCTAGATTTAATATAGATCTAAGCCCCCGAAGTTGAAACGCGTTAATCTTGTTTAGCATTGCCTGTGTCAAGTGCACGGTTTCAAGACCATAAATCAGTTTGTTTTGAATGACAGCCTGATAAACGCGTAGTCTCCAACCAACAGTGCAATTGGATGCTTTCCAAAAAGGCTTTAATTTGGTCCATGCAGCCATAGTCTGCTGCAT